GTGTGTGTGTGTGTGTGTGTGTGTGTGTGTGTGTGTGTGTGTGTGTGTGAAATCACTACATTTGGAGATTTAATTAATGCATTTTTCTGTCTTAGTTTACATTAACACCTGATACGAATTATCCAGTACAACAATAAATCATTTCAGTTAACACTAGCACAGCTGTATGAGACAACAGTTTGATGGGTGAGAGCTAAAATCTCCAAAACTGAAAGTTTTGTTTTGGTTTATTGTGTTAGATACAAATTATTGTGTCGTAAAAAGTCGCGCCCACAAGTCCACTTGTCTCAAGAAGCTGCTGATTCAAAACCAACAGATCTTGAACTACAGGCTTCAATCCAAACACAACTTGCTCAACTCTGTTCACTTTGGTAACTGAAAAACAAAGTTAAACGACGAACTCACAACAAAACTGACAAGCTTATTATGAAACTACTTTGCCACTTTTCATTTTACGTCTCATCAGAATAGCTTTAAATTGTCGACTCTAACACTATTTAACACAATTATCACTTCAAAAATCCTAAAATACAGCTGATATTAATTTAGAAAAACATACTAAGATTTCAAACAACGAACTCATGTGAACATCACTTCAGCAGCTACCGAAGCTAAAGTTAGCATCGCTGAAAATAACCAAACATTACCTGTAAAACATGTATCGAGTCGGATCAACACCGTAATCGTCCTTAAATTTCTCCTCCGCTTCCACATCAAACTCCTTGTCTTCTTTAACCTCCGCAGACTCAGCTGAAGTCTCGTCCATACTTGACATGGCTAACTTTGTTGTAGCAAAATCTCTGTTCGCTCCGTTCAGCACCGTGAAGACGTCACATCCGGTGTGGTCACGCTGCGGCTGCTTTCAGGGACTGCTGGAAATTCTAGCTTCGCGTTCAGCGTCATGAAAACAAAAACACACACACACACAAAAAAAAAAACTAATTTAAATCTGCACGTTATTTTCTCGTGTTTGTGACCAAAATATCTTATGCACACACTTTCAAAGATTAATTATTGGATGCACACTTGACAGGTATTTAACAAAAACACAAACCTGGCTGGCTGTAACTGTCAATTGGACAGATTTTGGACTAAAACGTCATGTGGTAGTGGTAATAATTGAAGCAAGTAACACATACTTTGAGTAATACATCGTGTGAGTTTGCACATTATTATTAAGTTTGACCAAAACAGCTATAACTTTGTAATTTCTGACAATAAAATAATCCTCTGGATTGAAAGATGATGGGTATAATGCGTTCCTTCAAGGACTGATAGGACTTTCATCTTAAAAACAGATTTATCATTTTAAATATGAATAAACTATCATAAGACTCAACACCCATCGTTACAGGTTAATTAGTATTACAGAAAATAACAACAGATCCTACAGCCTATGTTTAATAGCTAGTAAATGTGGTTTTATTGACAAATTGCTTGTGATTACAGCTCCTACAACATACATGATTCTGAGCGTTTCTTCTGTGGTTTCTGCAGCCTAATGTTGTCAGACTTCAATTGTGAGACAGAAACACTGGCACAGACACTGGGCTGAAACTGCATTTATATAACTTGTACACAAAGTAGATTTGCCCAAACCTGTATAAAACTAGCTTTTAGGTTTGGTACCTGGTACATCTGAACTACTACAGCAGACTCCTTTAAACATCCTGCTTGAAATAAATTCTTCAAAGCAAGGTCAAGCTGAAATTTATTTTCATCAACAATTCTGAACATTATAAAAATAAATAGATGATTTACAGTCAGTGGATTGTTATACAAACTGTTATCAAAATTATGTATCAGTCAGAAAGAAAATTTGAACACATGCATAACACCATTCCATGAACGGATACATGTTCTGAATACTTGTTGCTAACATTTGCAAATAACATCTGGTTTTTTTTTTCAAACAGAACCATTCGATAGAAAAACTAAAATAAAATAAAAAAATCATTCAGAGCAGAAAGCGGTACATGTTCAGTATGCTTCTTTCTGACCAGCTTCTAACAATGACTTGACCAAAGGTTGATTCAATGACTGTCATCCAGATCCAGTCTGTGCTTTTCAATGTAACGTCTGAAAAACAAAAACACATAAAACTGTGGTTATTGCATTTTACAGGAGTTTAGTGATTTTTGACCCTGCGAATGTGAACATGAAAATAAATAGTTTAAAATAAATTTTTATATTGCTGTTTTAAAACAATGAACATTACACAGCAGGCTCTCCTAGATAAAAACTAGATATTATTCTTTGGTGCTCACATAGGTACGATGATTACTGCTAATTTTTACATTTCTGACAGTTTTCAGTTCAAACCACAGTGGCTCATTTTGGCCACTTGGATGCAGAAACACTTATCCACTCACACACATTTACCAAGTGAAAACATCTGATTTATTTTAGAACAAAATGACATTTTATACTACATTTTAAACAGTCTAAAACAGAGATTCTTAACCCGTGGGCCGTGAGCGCCACCTTGAGGGCCTCAAATGAACAACAGTTTTTAACTTTGGGCCGCAGAGGGTCGTGGGACCTCATTGATTTTGAATAAGCTGCAATACACTTTCTCACCACTGGTAGCGGTAGTGCACCACTCAGATGTTTAACAACTTTTTTAATATGTAGAAGAAGAAACTTGGAAACCTGCCAAGAATGGAAATCTATGTTAAATGAAAAGTAGAAGCAAAAATGAAATAACTCTGCAAAAAGCACCAAAGTTTGTCACTAATATGAAGAACAGCTTCGGTTGCAAATGTTTAAAAAGGCTATATTTTCATTTATACTTTATC